GGTAATTTATTGGTTAATTATCGCTCCGTTTCGACACAAGATAAATCCTTCGCTCAGGGTCTTTCATTGATGATGATCAGCTTGTTCGCACTGATACCTGGTCCGATAATATTTGGGCGTATAATTGATTCGACATGTCTGGTATGGACGGAAACTTGTAATGGCAGAGGCAATTGTCAGCTGTATGAACAAACGAAATTCCGATACTACGTGAATATACTGGCGTTATGTAAGTCTAGTGGTTCTAAATTTTTATTCATATTTAGTGAAGTTTTGGTTATTCACTTTAGCCCTCACTTTCATCGGCGTAATCTTCGACATCCTAGTCTGGTACCATGGCAGACATCTTGATTTGTATGGCGAGAAGGAGGCGCAACAAAATGAAGAAATACGCCGAAAAGATAAACCTATCACTCCATTGTTGGCAAATAAATCATAATTGGTTGAACCGAGTTATTGAGGATCATATCTATGTACATATACATATGTAGGTATATGTAAATACAAAGGTTGTTTTGTAATTTAGGAATTTTTAGAGCTATGTTAGTAGCATTACTCTAATTCGTTGTAAATGTACATACAGCACGTATTCTGAATTTTATTTTTACTATTAATGTATGAACTGTAAATGTGTGAACTTGTAAATATTTTTTAACAGTACAAGGAAGCCTTATATGAATTTATATACACATGTGTATTACTTACTCGTTTCCTACATAAGAATGTATGTATGTATTTTTTATATACGTATCTACACTTAATTACGAGCTTGTAATATGCCAATTTAAATATATAGAGATTTTTTTATTATTTTTGTAGTCAAGTGTCCAAAAATTTACCATAGTTTTACTTTTGTACCCTACTCTCCAAGTAAAAGTTACCACCGCATTAAAATTTCATGCCGATAATAAATACTCTTTAAACTAAAACCTTTTATCGCCGAAAGCAAGTCATATTTGAGAGATAGCTGCAGCAGAGAAGCGAATTTCATTTTTTCATGTATTTGCAGGCAATTCTGGCAACTGTCTATCAACTCACCACATTTCTTTTGTAAGAGAATTGTCTGACAACTGTCTCGAAAGCTCTTTTCTGTAGAAGAGATCTTAGCTTTATGCTGTTTGCCGCTAAGCAATAAGTCTTCTAAAAATTTAATCATTTAAAAAAATATATATTTATCTTTTTAAAAATTAAGAAATTTAAAGAAATATATATTGAACATAACTAAAATAAAAACTAAATAAAATAAGTTTTTTTTTAAATCACTCCTCTTTAAATCCAACCGAATATTTAATTTAAAAAATAGTGGAATTAAATTAAAAAAAAAATAAATAAATACGTTCCTAATAATTAAATGAAATAAAGACATTTTTCTAAAACAATAAAATCTAAAAATTTAGAGCAGATTAAATTAACAAAAGAAAAATATATGAGGTATAAAATAAAAGTAGTTTCTAAAAATCAACGAGATTAAAAATTATTTTTCTTTTTAAAACAGTCAAATCTAAATAAATTAAAGAAAAATATCAATTTAAAAGAAATAAAAATACATAAAATAGGTTTCTGAAAATTAAAAAATATATACTTTTTTTTAAAACCAAAAAAAATCATTACAGGAGGAAAAAATTTAAAAAAAATATCTGCATAAAATAAGTTTCTAAAAATTAAGTGAAAAGCACTTTTGAAATAAAATCTAAAAATTAAAAAAAATATATATATGTATATTAAAAATAATATTTTTTTAGTTCATTTAATCTTTAGGGACTTACTTTTTTCTTTTATTTTAACTAATTCATTTTTTAATTTTCCTTTAATTTTTTGGTTTTAAAAGGAAATATTTATTTCTTTAATACTCCTATTATTATTTTTTTTTTACTTTAGTTTTTGGAGTTTTTTGTTTTAATTTTTTTTAATTTCAATTAGTTTTTAGAAACCAACTTTTTCTTCTTTGTTTTAGATCAATTTTTAATTTAATTACTTTTACATTTAATTTTTATAAACTTATTTTTTCTTTTTTTTTATATTTTATTTTATTTTAAATTTTAGATTACATTGTCTTAAAAAGAAAATATATTTTTATTTTAAATTTCATTTAATTTTAAGAAACTTTTTTTAAGTAAATTGGTTTTTTAGTTCAATTTTCTTTTAATTTTTAGTTTTGCCCTTTTAGAGTACAAAATCAATAACACAATACACGCAACTTGTTATTTCCTAGTTATTAAACGTGTCTTGGACAAAAGTTCTATTTTTATTCACAAAAGGTCATTTATTTTTACAAAATGTTTTCTAATTGGTAGATAGGTTACGTCTGAAAATCTTCTTCTTCAGCACTACAACTGTTTGTCGGTTAGGGCCGAGACCGAAAAACTTCGCCAATTACCTTCCTCCTTTTTAAAGTTTCGCTAGTGCTTACTCCCGAGTGCAGACAGGTCCTTCTTTTAACCGGAGCGTTTTCACATACATATGCAGTTCGTCATTCCATCTTCTTCGGTACCTGTCACGAATGCGATCAGGGCCAGGTCTTGAATAGAATAATTCCCCCGCTGGCGTCGCCGTAAGCTGACGGATGGCTTGGTAAACAGCTTATTTCTCTGCAGCAACGTCATACCACTTATTTTTGCGATGTGTCATCCGCATCGGTACGAGGTGATTGGGAGAGGGAATCCCAGATGATGAGTTAATGGTAATGGTTGAAGGAGTATTGAGAAGCAATTATGAAATTTCTCGGTAGCCCGTTGTGACTTAAGTTTTCCGACGTCGATCTTTAGTCGCTCAAAGATACATGCGGATCTTAGCAGCAACAAGCTTGTGCGATCTAACTGGATGTTGCCTCTGTTGATGAACGCACGTCAAAATCGCTTTCGGCTACTAGACCAAATATGTCAATTCTCCCACCCTGGCATCGAAATCGCTGTCAAGATCATCGTCCATCTCTTCCGATGGGAGGTTCCCACAAATTGGAATCGCCAGCCGTGTCCCATTTCTTGCATGTCCTATACTGCGGTTATGAAGCCATCCAGCAGAATGTCCGGACATTCCAGGAACACAAAGCAACGCACACCAAAGTAGGCGAAAGAGGACCGCCGGGACCCGATTACGAATGCGACGAGTTTATTGCCATTTCCTCAATATTATGCTTCCACCACCGCGTCCTGCCAAGTATAAGATCAGATCCCCATCGAGGGAAAAGCCACAGCAGGGACCTTATACTTCCTAGTAAACAAGGCCAGCTTCATCTAGCTGGGGTTGACTGTGGACCGCAGTTACCTAGTTACCAAGTTTAGATAACCTTAAGTCAGATCAAAAAAAGTATCTCAAAATCGTCCTCTAATCATAACTTACACGTGCCAATTTCTCCAGTTGCTTTTGAAGGTCGGTCGTTACAATGCCGATCCAGAGCAGTGTAAAGAGAACACCGGGTTGTGGGGCGCCTATTGACTAACGGTCCTCCGCCCCTCCGCCACGACAGTTCCGCCGGGACGCAAGCTCTAAATTAGCCTTATTGGGTTGGTTTCAATCGCGAGCTATAAAGAGGCAGGGCTATTCCAAGAAGACCTTATCTTTGGGAGTTGGAAGATCTTCTAACAGCGTTGCCATTCCAAGGCAGACAAGAAGGAAGTGTGAAACACACTAAATAAAGGAAACATCGCAGATATGTTGATGTGGTCATAAAAGGTGTGGTTGCGGTTGTTGTTGTAACAGCTTACTTAGCCCTTCATTGTCGTCAGGCTCAACTAACGGTAGGAAACTTGATATTTCAATGGATTCGAACCAGAGGGAGAGGGGTGTTAGTTGAGTTGGATTAAGTGGGCATGTGAAGAGGTGGTTGGTGTCATGGGGGTAACCTCCACATGCTGGACACTCATTGGAGATGTCGGGCCAGAGCTACTCGGTTGTCTCGTGGTAGTTGGAGCTCACGCTAGTCCACAGGTTGTGATTGGACAATGATGACTGCATTCATGCGACTGGAGTCTGTCTAGGTGGTAACAGCCTATCTGTAAGTGCTTGTCTGTGCGAGAGAATTTTCCGGTTGTTCACCGTCGGAATTGTGGTGAAAATGGTTGGCGAGGATTTCGAAGGGGAGAGGATTAGGCTCCTTGCAGTGAAGCAGCAAGAAAATTTGGAGTTTTAACCGTATTTTATTTGGTATCGTCAGCTGTTTCTCAAATTCTGGGCACGAAATGTATTTTTTGCGTTCCCGTACTTCTGGGCATTGTACCATTTAAGAGAGCAAATTTTTCGATTACTCTCTAATAATCTGATCTGGTTCGGGTTGTACGGGAAAGGACCTACTATGACCGTTATTTTCAGATTTCATATTGTTAAAATCATAAAAACTGTCATAAAAACGGTTAAAAGTGATCGAAAGAAAAAAATCAAAATAACGATTATTTTTTATCGAAAAATAACCATCAAATTTAATAGGATTTTTCTTAAACGAAAAACATCAAAATAAAGAAAATCGGTTTTGGTATGATCTAAAAAAATAAATCACGGTATTTAATGGTTATTTTCGTCCCGGGAAAGTTGAGTATCTGAAAAGCTGTTAATTAGGGCCTTTTTACTTTGATAGTACCTATACATATAATAATGGTAGTCATGTGTAGGTATTTGCCCGTACACTTAATCTAGCCAGCCGGTATTAAATTCAAGTGTTCGGGCAAATCTCTAAACATGTATCAGTCGAAAGCAGCTCAAAAGCCAGGGGCCTCCATGATGCAGTGTGAAAATATATTTGCTATCCTTCGCTAGCCGTTCTTCTTCTGTGGTTAAAAAATATGTCAGGTTTTGTTGTGTTTACCATTTTTACACTTTATTTGACATATGGCCGACATTTACTATGCGTTTTTGTCTTTCTATTTTTGTTTAATTTTTGGTGTTTTTTCTTCAAAATCTGCTTTACTTCCCAAACAAATAAGGTGAAAATATGTGCAATGCAATCTAATTCGTACGGATTTATATTTTTACAATACCTAAAGCAATTAATGACATTTTTAAGCTGATTAATAGTTTTTATTTCATTTTTATTTTAAAATGTAGTCAAAATGCAAACATAGTACATACATGAATTCAATTGTAGTTAAATCAAACATTTCAATATGAGCTTTAATGCATGGATTTTTAAATAGATTAATATGAGTCGATTACGGATGACAACCGAACTTCAGTTGCGTTGCCAGTGGCTGAAATAGTATTACAGATGGCAACTGACGACTGAAAGCTGGCAACTGAGTTACTATATTGGCAACTACATTTTTGTGGTTGCCGCTGAAATTTTGATTGTGAAAATTTATTTATTTTTTTTCAACTGTTTCCACGGCTTATTTACACTCAAATGTTGGTTGCTGTTAGCAAAAAAAAAAATCGATTATCTTAAACTTTGTAGCACATAACTATAGTTGCTATTCTCAACTGAGGTTGCATTGCTATTCATAATCGACCCATAAAATTGCAAGTTTTCAATTGTTCTCAAAAAAATCAAATTTTGTTTCTTTTATAAATAGATATATTTATGTAGGTAAATACATTACTCATTTTGTGTCAGTGCTAAGCAGTACAATTGCTTTTCGTTTCTTTTGACTTTGTTATATTTGATAATGGAGAAGTTGTGCAGATTTGATAACTCATAATCAAGCATTATAAGAAAACGTCCATAACTAATCATACAAAATATCAATGAATTTTGAATGGTAAAATACATATCACAACTTAAAAAGTGCAAAAAAATTAAAAGTTCGTTGGAATTCATAAAACAAAAAGTATATTATTCTTCAATTTCCGCCAAAAAATTTGATTAACTGATGTAGTAGTTAGCCGTTTAAGGTATAACTCGTCTCCGTCGATTAGATATCTGGCAAAATACCACTTAAAACCAATATACTCTAGACAACATCCATGCAGTTTTATGCCAATTCAACAGGCCCATCGATCAATCATCGATCGTCAAAACAATAAGCTTATTTTTTCTTTGAATTTTTTAATAAATAAACACTTTTTTGTAAAGCTACGTAAGAAAGGAATATCTAGAAAACGTTTTAAGTAAAAAATCCTTTCAGCATTTATGTTTATTAAAGTTAGGTAACTTTGTGTCTATGCGTGTGTGTAAGTGTATCACTCACTCGCCGCTCGATCAGACCAACCCGATATCAGTCTGTATTTTGTAATAATTTTGCATTTCTACATCCGGCGGCCAGAAGTTACTACATACATATATGAATTTTGCAATTATTGCTAAAATATGTTATTTTTGCAGTGACATTAGCGGATGAATGAAACGTAATGTTAATGTGTTTTATACGTATGTATGTGGTTTAACATTCGATAAGTGTTCTGCATTCTTATTAGGTTGTTGCATCGTCATATTTGTTACTGAAGGGAACTGCGCTATAGTGTTTAAATTTTTATTTCATGTTTTAATATCTCGACCTTAAAATGCTATCGATTTTTATTATTTATATAATATATAAAAAACTCAATTCAAAATTTCATTACGCTTACTTTTAGCAGCAGTTATTTAAATGTTCATTTGCGTTAGTAATTCACTTACGGTTTTTGACTTTTTTTTTTTAATTTAACCGAAAAAATAAAATCTGTAATTGTATATAAGTTCTCATATTTAATTATAGCAATAATATAATTATGTATTAATATGTTCACTTTTCATATTTTTTCGTTCGTTTTATATTATAATTAAGTGTGTATGTGTGTTTGTTTTAAATTTCTTTTTATTCATCATATTTTGCCCATTTTCATTGTTCATTTTCATTTTTGTCTGAAATGGCATTAATGATTTCCGTTTAACGAGTCTGACGCTGTTCATTTAGGCTCTTTTTTGTTTCTTGTTTAGAAGAAAGGTGATTCGAACAATTTAGCTGTGCTCAATTTATTCGATTACCTTCAACACCTTGCCGATAGCAATAGTTTTGTCTGCAAACATAAATATGTAAGTATAATTCAAAATATTTGCTTAAAGTACTTCTAGTTAGAACACTTACTCTCATCTCGCAGCGTAAATCTACCCATTTGTGGGAATAGCTTAAACTGTTCAAGGCAAATCATTCCGGAACATTCAATACGCATAATTGCCACTTGATCTTGTTTTACAAATCTTGGACGTGTTTTTGATTTTTCTCCCGTCTTTTTGTCAACCAAACAAATTAATGCCTATAAAAGTTGGACATTCCAAAGGTTTGAGTACAGAAGTAAATTAGATTTGCAAGCACTTCAACTTACTTTCACAGTTATCTCCTCAGCTGCGCAGTGAATATGCATGACCGCCGAGTAGCCAGCGCAAATAATAGATTTGTGCTCCAAAATAACTACTTGCGCGTCGAAAACTTTGCCGGTTTTAATAGGGTTGGTAGCATCGCACAAAACGAATCCGGGGGAAACATCCTCTTCTTCAATTCCCTATAAAGAGTAAAATATTTTAATGAAATATTAAAGGGTTTTTGGCAATATGCTGTAACCACAAGCATTATTGTACATACCTTCAGTTTGACTTTAATGTTTTCGCCAGGACCCACAGAGGTCACTTCATCATCATCGGAAAATAGTTGATCTACGGAAACTTGTGTCTATAAAGTAAAAATAAAAGTATTTTTTATTTGCAAAGTAAGAGTCACAACAACTTTCCGTACCCTATTTGGCATAACCAATAGGTTTTGTCCTTTTCGCGCTGTTCCTGACTCCACTTTTCCCATTACAACAGTACCCATATCCTTATATTTATCAACAATAGGCATTATGAATGGGCCTTCAGCGTTGCGATTGAGTGAAGGCAACTGATCAATGAAAGGTATGAACGCCATCCCTCTGTACCAAGGGCATATAGCAGCTGGTACAGGATCACGCAAACCGGCGCCGCCCAAACCAGAGCAAGGCATAAAGGTTAAATCCTTTGAAGGGTTAAATCCCAATTTTTTGAGGTATGGTAAAATCTTGTCTCTACATTCGTTGTAACGTTCCTCATCCCAATTTACAGTCGGGTCGTCCATTTTATTAACCAAAACAACCAAATGTTTAACACCAGCAGTCTTAGCCAACATAGCATGTTCTCGCGTCTGCCCACCGCGATCGAAACCAGTTTCAAATTCACCTTTTCGTGCAGAGATGACCAACACTGCCAAATCGGCTTGTGCAGCGCCACCAATCATATTGGGTACGAAACTCTTGTGGCCAGGAGCATCCAAAATAGTAAAATGCTTGCGCTCTGTCTCAAAGAAGGCTCTGCCTACTTCAACAGTTTTACCCTTGTCACGTTCTTCCTGATTGGTGTCTAATGCCCACGAAAGGTACCAGCTTTCGCGTGATTTTTCTCTAGCCTCACGCTCATATTTCTCAAGTGTACGCTTATCGACCATACCTGTTAGGTACATAATCTGACCACCTATTGTTGATTTACCAGCATCTGTAATATAATTATTATGTGAATTAAAGCCATGTAATAGATTGAAATTTCAGAAATGTATATATATACACTAGGGTAGGTCGTTTTTTTTTTTACTAAATTGCGTGGTATTTCCGGATTCTACAGACAATTCATAGCAAAAGTGTAGAAGAAACCATGTGTCGGAAGTTAATTTCGAGCCTGCGCATTTTCGAATGAAAAAAAAAAAACTTTTCACGATATTAAAATTGTTTCGCCTTTTCTTAAAACTTTGCATATAAAATGATTTTAGTTTCTTACATTCGCTTTATTTGTTTATTTATCCAGGAGTATTTTAGCAAATATGTACAAATATTCATACTTTCCATTTTTTTGTTTTTTTGTGAAAAAAATAAATTTTTCTTTTAAAAATGCGCGCGCTAGAAACTTATTTCCGACGTATAGTTTCTTCTTTTTTCTCTTAGAATTATATATAGAAACCGAAAATACCATGCGATTTGCCGAAAAACTTTCGTCCGAACTATTTGACCAACCCTAGTATATACATACGTACGTAACAGGGTTTAAGGTAAGTGGCACACCTACCAACATGTCCAATGAAGACCACATTTACATGTTCTTTTTTACTACGCGATTCCTCAACTTTCGGTGTTTTCTTCTTAGAGACCTTGGGTGCAATATCATTTTCTGCGTCTTCAATACCATCGTCAGCTTCCTCGTCATCCGGAGTTATAATAGGATCATCCTCAATATCCCAACTATCAGCTGGGTCATTTTCTGTAGAAATAGAAATATTGTTCAGCAAAAATTATTAGAAAAGTTTTATAAGTTGAATATCATTACTTAAAAACATACATAAGTAGTTTTACTAAATAGGTACTGTCTTTTTAATGTTAAAATTGGCATAATAAAACTCACTTTTTCTAATCAAACGTGGCATTTTGCTTGTGATTGAGGTACAAAAAAAAAGCAAACATAAAAAATACAACTAAATTTTTCTCTATTTACACCTAACTAAATTAATGAGAAACTATGAATTTTCATTACGTCTAAGTTAATAGAAACTTTTATTACAGTGACGAACCACATGCAGCTATCGTCTGACTGACTACAATTGCTAGCAACTTCGAATTGCTAACTACTAGACAACCAGTCCTAACAGGTTAAAAGCGCTTGAAACTACCAATCGCAGAGTCGCGAATTTGGTAACAAAAGGTACTGAAAAAATTGGGTGAATGAAGCTAAATTTTTTCTTTGAAACGTTTACGGTAAATAATAAAAGACATTCATTCAACGCAAAATCTAAAGTTGCACAGAATGAGGGAAATATCATACGTCCACTTAGTTACATTGTATGTACATGCTTACTGCCTTGTTCAAGAACACAAAAGTTAACACGTCGGAAATAAAGAAATTGGTTTTTTTAGCAAACTTGTGTAGGAAAGAGGCAACGCCAACATTTAAGTGAAGCAAAATTTAAAAAATTGAGTATGTGAAAGAAAGACAAACTAGCATATGACTGTGAAGTTAAAAATAGATGGGGAAACTCTGTCTGCACATGCTTAGCTTACTAATAATGCAATGCACTATTATCGCTAAAAACTTTGCAAAGTACAAAATACATAAGTTTACCATCAAAACCCAAAAAAAAAAAAAAATACATAAGTATAAAATATATCATTCGAGGTTATGTTTAAAATAAAATATGCCAATGCATGAGTTTAGTCATCAGTTCGGCTATTTGCCAAAGCAAATAAGAAAAACGAAGAAACGAGCTGGTATAGTAAAAACTGCCTGCGACCGGTGCGTTCTTCTAGATAAGAAAAAATCTCTCTCACCGGCGCACATGTGAAGCTTTGATCGCAATACTGCAGCTAACAGCTGGAGATAATCTTGTTTCGCATGTATGTGCATACATAACATCTAGTATACATATGTTAAAATAAGTATGCATGTATGGATATACATATGTAAGTATGTATGGACAGTTTGGCTTAATTTTTAATAGCACAGTAAAAATAAATTACAATTGTGCAACCTACTATTCTACCCCCTTTAATTAAAAGTTTTGTATTTTATGTATGTGCACATGTATGTATGTAAATAGTTTATTCAAACCAAAAAATTAAACATTATTTTCGGGATTCCGATATAGTACTTTACCATTGTTTTCAGCAATTTCATCTGCGGTGTTAATATTTTCGATGGGCGCAACAGCCAAAGGTGTGGTAACAGGCGATGTTTGCATTGGAGAATCAGCTGGTGTTTCGGTGGCTGCTCCTGGCGGTACCGCTTGTAAAGCAGCAGCTGAGGCAGTGGCATTCAAAGCATTTATAGAGCCACCTGAGCCAGCAGAATCTGGGGTTGTGGCGGGAGTAGCACTGCCTGACGCTGGCAGCGATGCTGCATCCATAGGGACAACCTTTGGTGTGTTACCTCCTGGCGTTACTACAGTTGCCGCCGCTACTGCCGCACTAGCAGCAACGCTACTGTAACCGTAACTGGGAACAAATTCAACAGCGTTTACATTGAGTGTGGAAAATTTAGTTGCCATCTCCGTATTATCTTGCGCCATCTTAGTATGTAATTTCCTGATTTTTGTTTTTAAAAGACCTTGCAATTGATGAACCGCCTTACAAAAATATGTTTTATGATGAGTACGTCAACCGTGCTGCTGCTCTTTTGATAGCGACACAATTCCGCCTCCACCACGTTTATCTTCAAATTTCAAGCACTACCACTACGCGAAAGGCGGAGCCACATACGGTTTTTGTTTTTCTTTTGTTTCCCACTGAAGTATTTACGTCCTTATATGTTTTTCTTGAACTCCAGTTGATATTTTCCAATGTTCCGAAATTTCTGTACGTTCACTACTTGTACCTCGATAAATCACGTTTTTCTTTCTCACTTCTGCCAACCTAGCTCTTCCTCAACGATCTTTTCAATGACAAACTTCTCAAAAGCAGGGTTTAAAACAAAGTGAAGTGAAGTAAAACGTAATGATTACTGTGCCTGCGATTATTGTGGTTTATTCGCATTACAATTTAGGCATGCAAAATCACAAACCTCTGCGGTATCACGAAATCAGTTAAAATGGCCACGCATATATGGAAAATTTACCTGTTCAGTTGTTGCGAATTTTCTTGGAACGGTTCGGTATGTGGAACATACCTGCAAAGCCATAGGGTAATTCTTATATTTATTTAATTCAAAAAAAAATTAAAATCATTTTCAAATAAATACAGAACATTAGGGTTATTTAACGGGTTTTATTCGTTTACTAGGCTTTTGTTCAATTCAGAATATCGAAAAGATACCTAGGATGAACTTTTTTACTATTCTTTACGTTACCGGCCGTCTCACATGCTTGGAAATCCCGCTTGCGTTCTGCAGATACAAGCGAGCTCAATGCAATGGTATACAGACGGCCCTAAAACTCCCGACGGTATTGGGGTAGGCGTTTACGGGCCAAGGCTAAAGCTTTCGGTACCAATGGGCATATACCCAAGCATATTTCAAGCGGAAGTCTATGCCATAAGTCTGTGTGCAGAGATTAACCTGCGTAGGAACTATCGTAATGAAAGTATTTTGATCATGAGCTACAGCCAGACAGCACTCAAGGCCCTCTTATCATTTGTGGTCAAATCCTCTCTGGTTCTTGAGTGTATTGATAAGCTCAACACCCTGGCGGAGTACAACGACATCCAATTAACTTGGGTGCCAGGTCTCGTAGGAGTTTTTGGCAATGAGGAAGCGGACCGACTAGCTAGGAAGGCAGCCGCCTCGTCGCCTATAGGGCCTGAGCCCTTCATAGCGATTGGACCTAGTAGAATCAAGGAAGAGCTCAGAGAGGAACACAGTAAGGAATCAGCACTGGCGTAAAGCTGATGCCAGATAAAACTTTGTAGCTTTGCGTGACATTTATAACTTTGCCAGCAAAGCGCCAGACGCAAAAGGTATGCCACAATGAACGCCAAGAAAACAATGTTGTACCGCTTTTTTACTCATCAAAGTTGCTGTGGATTTTAATTATTTTGATTTAAAATTATCAGCAATGTAATTAAGTTTTATGTTTCTGCATGAAAACCCGAATTTGGACGAAACAAAATAAATATTAAACCGGCTGATTGTCAAAGCGCGCAAAAAGATGGGAGTTGACCATCTTTTCGCTTCGCGCTGCCGCTTCAACGATTTATGTGGCATGCTTTGNCGGTAGGCCTACGTCAGGCTAAAAGCCTACTGGGAGGATACAACCTTACAAGTTAGGCTATCTGCACACTTGTCGTCCAATCATAGTTGCGTTATCGTCTCGCCCTGAAATTTTGAGCCGAGCACATGCATTTCAAAGGAGATCTGCACACTTGTCGTTATCGGCTAGTTATCGGCAAATCGTAGAAGATGCAGAAACGGATAAGTACGGCACTGTCGTTTGCTAATCGTTGTGCACGCATTGTTTGTTTACATTTTATGGGGGAAAATTAGTGAAAAAGTTAATATTTGCATTAAAATTGTATAAAAATTAGTATTTTTTTGCATAAAATCTGTGGAAATTATTAAAAAGTGGATAATTGCATTAAAATTTAATAAATATGAGCGTTTTAACTATAAAATATGACGAAATTGTATTAAGTCTCTGTGTGCATACACAAAACACATTCCAGGAAAAGAAAAGAAGAGATATTACTGGAAAATTACGTCTAGAAATGTTGCAGCACAGTCTATATTTAAAAAATTGCAGGTTTTTGTAAATATTTCGCGAAAATATCAACCAAAAAAAACAGAAAATACCTGCTCCAAGTGAATTTTTAGACGCCAAATGAATTGAAATATCACGACCAAGTGTGCAGAAGTGTAATCGTCATGTAATCGTTGCTTCATGACGATAACTATGACTCAACTATGATTGGACGACCAATGAGCAGAAAGCCTTATAGAGCATTAATAAACCTAACCAAAGAGAGGGTAAGGATATTGACAGGCTTTCTGACGGGTCACTGTAGACTGAGAGGTCACCTGCACAGGTTGGAGATCTGGTCTAACGACCTATGTCGGTTCTGCGATGTGACTGAGCAGACCACCTGCATCTGCTTCGCGAATGCGAACTTCTGTATGCTAAAGGCTGCATTTCTTTATTCATTCTGAATGTTTGGAATAAACTTTTTTGTTTATTTATTCTTTAGAACGTTCCTGATGATATGTTGACGTATATTTCAAACGCATTCTGTTTATTCCGGCTGTGAAATGGGATTATCCGGAATGTATAAAGAAACGCAGCCAAAATGTTAATCTACAATGGAATTAAAAAGTGGTCTTCAGAAACTAGTTAGTTACATTGTTTTCCTGAAGACGACATGCTGATAATGAAATTGCTTCTCAAATCGAATGCAGCCTACGTAATGACTTTCAATTTTGATGATTTTTGACAATCAATGTGTGTGAGGAAATTAAAAGGCAAAATTGATTGTGTGTCGTCAGCGTTAATTAAAATTTTTCAATTTGTTTCGAAAGGTTTTAAACAACGAGAACGAAAGCATAGCGAATACGTTTTCGACGTTCGCATTATGAGAGTACAAGATGTACTGACGAAATAAATGGATCGCGTTTTGAATGTGCCACACGCTCAATATTTATTGACGATATTGCGAACCGCGATCCAGATTTCAAAATTTTTTGAAATTCTGCGATATGGATCACCGATCCATCAATACTGCGTGCTACACCGTCAATAAATATCGTGATACTTTGATCACGTCAATAAATACTGACCGTGTGTGTGCCCTTTCCGTTTAAATGTAACCGGCCGTCTTCACATGCTTGCAAATCTCGCTTGCGTTTGGTTTTTTCTCTCGCAAGCGAGACAGAGTTTGGTGACTGGGCACTTGACAGCTTTTTCATTTGTAAAATGGGCTCTTATTCTAAGAAACTTAAAACTTTTCTAACAATAATAAATTGGCAACACCAAGCACCCCCATGTTAACTTCTGCAAGGCTTAAAAAAAATCAATTTCCGCCGTCGGGTGGTTAACATTGGCAATGATTCGCATGTTTTGATGCCCCTTTCGGCCAATTTGATCTAATTTTCGGTGGGCCCGCTAAAGTGTACTTTTACTTAATTTATATGAAGCATCCCACATTAGCGAGGTGCTAGCGCCGAGCAAATGGAATTTTAATTTTTACGTGTTGAAGTAGGATGCAGAAGACGAAAAAAAATGGGCGCTGACAGTCGGCATATAAGGCCCTGTCTCAACAGGAAAGCACTGATGTCGTGATAACCATGTCGCAAAATATATTTTCAATGGAGACCGCTTATTTCCCATGGGCTGCAATAAATGTCAGCGGTTATTGCTTGACATCTAATGCAGGCATTTTGATAGTTTGACAGCTATATTTTCATTTGAAAGAAAGCGTGCAGGTGGTAGCATCAATGAAATTTTGATATTAAACCAAAATAAGAATCTGTTCTCTATTGTATTATTTGTGATTACGTTTTAGGAAATTATTCAGCAAGTTTTTGTTTTTCTTAATTTAAATGTTTTTAAACACCGAAATTGAGAGAGTGTTGTCTGGTGGCCTCATGCGGCAAATAATTATTTCAAGACATCGAAGTGCCCACACACAAAAACTTGGAATCATATTGCTCGTTAAAATGACAGTTGGTAGGCCATCGTTGTTTGCCTATGAAGTTTTGCGGTGGTATTTTGAACGTGTAGTTGCAGCGTAATGGAGACAGCAATTAATTGCTGCAGTAAACAGGGTGGCAAGGACTTGTAATTCACGATAGGTGCCGCTCGGTTTCGTTCAGTTAAATTTTCGTTAACCGATGAAAACGGACGTGCCTTCGTAGCATTTTCGGGACGCCATTTTATATCTGTTCTTTGAAGAGGAAGTGAGCTCAGAGAAAACGCGCTTTTCAGAAATTTTTTAATTAAATAAGGGCTCTTTTTATAAGGAAATAAAAAATGAGTGGAGGTGGAAATAATGCTGCACGACCGCCGCCAAGAATTGAGGGCATGATATCGCTGAAGGTGAGATAAAAATGTGAAAGGCTATGCAATACTTATGGATGTATGCATTTCATCTAATTGTACATGTATTTGGTGGAGCTCCTGAAATTCTGAAATTGAAAATTCTTTTACTTTTGTTAATTTTTTCAGGTTGATAATTTAACATATCGCACTACGCCCGAGGATTTGAGACGTGTATTTGAGCGATGTGGCGAGGTTGGTGACATTTACATCCCTCGCGACCGATATACCCGTGAAAGCCGTGGTTTCGCTTTTGTTAGGTAAGCTTGAAACGAATATGAGTAGAGATAAAACAGGCACTGTGTCGTGCAACGTCAATGCCTTCTTTTTATTGGGGACACCGATTCTAACCTCAAATTTTTCATCAGGCACTTGCGCTCTGTATACAGTCAGTCAATAAAGTTTAGGTACAGCTAAGTTTTTGCAATATGGCCATCTGTTTTTTAAATATTTTATTTTTCGCTAATTTTATATAAAAATATGGTTGATTCTACAACAAAACCCGCAGAAATCGGAGTTCCAAACCTTGTGCAGAATTAAAGAAAATTCTGCAAATCGTTCAAATATTGCACTTTTTATTCACACTCTTTAGAAAAAAAATTTAGTATACAGCTTTTCAGCCCATTCAATTTTACTATAATAAAGTGCAAGTTTGAGGTAGCTAGGAGTTACCATTGATTTTTGCCAATTTTTTTTTGTTGAAATTGTAGCTCATTTTCTCCATAAAATAATTTGCGATAATTTTTTTATATGGAAAAAATTATCGACACCCTCAACAAAACAATGTGCCCAAAATCAATGGTAAATCCCAGCTTCCTCAGACTTGCACTCATTGTACTAAAATTGAATGGGCTAAAAAACTGCGTACTCAAATTTTTTCTTAAGAGTGTATAACAAAAGTGCAATATTTGAATGAAAATTTGCAGAATTTTCTTTAATTTTGAACAAGGTTTGGAATTCTGATTTTTTGGGTTTCTGTCGTAAAATTAATCATATGTATTTAAAAAAAAAAAAAATAGCGAAAAATAAAATATTTAATAAATAAGTAGCCCGTATTGCAAAACAACTCTGTACATAAAATTTACTGATTGACTATGTATTTTCATGGTTTCCTTCACACCACTAGGAATCCGTAATTAGGGATGCAAATACGGCTAAGAATTTTTCCTAGTACGAAAACAAATTTTCCAAAATGGATTTCATTTAGCCACCTCAGTTGAGAACGTGGACTATCGAAAACATCGATTGTGGCATAATATACATACTTTGAATAAATGATAAGAATTATGGTGCCATAAGGAAAAAACTTTACTTGTTTTCCTAATTTATTGAATAATATGGTATTTTGCATTTTGTTAGTTAGGGTAAACTGAAATCAGTTATTCTATGAACAAAATGCATATATGAAATGTATTCACTTTGCAACTGCTGTCTACGAATATATCCTAGTCAGTTTACGTACGAATACCACATTTTTACTATTAGTTATGATTTATGTACTTTCTATCTTTATAGCTTGATAATGAACGGTCTTAAATATTTTCATCTTTTGGTGTTTTGTTTTCAAACAAAAATGTTACCTTATTGCCAGTTTCGAACAAACAGTTAGAATTGGGCAATGAGAAGGCAACATTTTTTGTAGAAAAGAAAGCTCCACATTGGACGTTTGACAAAACAACTTAAGTCTGTTTTTCACGAACATACTTACCGTCAAAGCGAAAAATGTTGCAATTCGAAAGAAATGTTAAATTATTTTATCGCTATTTACAACATTTAAAAATGTTTCTGTTTGCAACAACTGCTTGTTTCAATTTAAATAAAATTGATTGCTCTGACGATAAAAAGAGCTTTGTCCGTCGAAGAAAGACATAAGTTGTTTTGTCAATTGTCCACAGAAATGTAAATACATCAGTGACGAACAAAAGTATTGGCACAGAGAATTTTTCGCAATGTATGCAAAGCTTTTTTTTTTATTTATTTTTAATTTCTTTTCGCTAATATTTTATAAAAATATAGTTCATACTAGTACAAAAAAAAAAACAAAAAAAAATCTAAACTGTGCAAAACTCAAGAAAATTTAATAAATGTGTTCGTCACTGCATGTCAAATTCATATTTACTTCCGAGTGCATTTGAGCTAAGTTCGCTTTGAATTCAAATTGGCAGGGGTTGAAATTCACTCGGAAGTGAACCTACCTGCATGTACTTATTTACATAACATTAAGTTTGTAATTAAAACCGTAAGTTGACGAAGTTAATGAATTTATAATATAATAATTTTTATTTAAATTCTTGTGTTGCTTTCAGATTTTATGATAAACGTGATGCAGAGGACGCATTAGAGGCCATGGATGGTCGAATGCTTGATGGCAGGGAGTTGCGTGTTCAGATGGCTCGCTATGGTCGACCAAATTCTCCGACACGTCGCACCAATAATAGACGTGGCGGCGGAGGTGGTAGACGTCGTTCGCGTTCACCTGTACGTAGGCGCTCCCGTAGCCCACGTCGTCGTTCGTATTCACCTAGATCCAGATCTCGTTCGGCGGCAGGTAGTCGTTCACCTGTTCGACGCAGCAAGTTTTCACGCAGTCCAGTTGGTCGTAAATCTTTGAGCCGTAGCCAAAGTCGCAACGGTATAGCTGCTCGTAGTGCGTCACGCAGTCGAAGCCGGTCCTAAAGATGACAACTTATCACTGCGACAAATCATTGATATCTTTAATCAGAGGTACGTTGGTTCCCGTAAATCATTTATTCTATATTCATTCAAATTTTTTTTTTGTAGAAATCAAAAAAAAATGGACCAGTATGCATTGAAATTTATTCATATGGTTGATTAGTGGCGTTTTCATAAACAAACATGAGTATTTCGAGTTTAGTGCTGCTAACTAAACAGGTATAACAATTTAATATATAAATTGTAGCACTTCAAAATATGAAAACATTCGAAACGGAAAAATGTGAAAGATAAGATTACCAGGAAACTCAAACTTGCTCTTTATTTAATATCCATTCACATATGCCCTAATTTCAGAGTATGTGTTAAATTATACCTATTTGAGCCCATAACATTTTTCCTACATTTCCAACTAATGTTTAAAATGAATTTTACCATTTTTCACATGAAGTGTGTTGCCTGCCGTATTAAAACACATATATGATAACCCCGAATATAATATTATTATTTAGATTATTGGTAGAATTTTATGGCAAACTCATTCAAAAATATCGATAATCCAATTTTAGAAAAGCCATTTTAATTTAATTTCGTTTAATTAGAAATCAATAGTTTTATATACTTAGTCTGCAAAGAAGTTTAAGGAATGGATTTATAATTAAAAAATTCTGTTTCCAAAATTATCTACTCGTGTGTATTAACATCAGAAAAGTAATATGAACGTATTTTAAGTAAAAAAAAAAATAATAATAATAAATGTAATCCAAATATTTAAACTCGTGAAGCGTATAGGGAAAGTAAGGATGTCAGTCAGTTTTTTACAACTACATTAGATTTACATATGAATTACACAACACTTAATCCAAATGTTTGCATAATTAAGTTGCTAAGATTTTGTGTAATTTTTATGAAGTTAACACTTTTAAAACCCATTTTGATTGCATGGCGGTAATATATTTTTTACACTTCTATATAACGCAGGCAAAAACAAAGATTGCTGTAAGGGCTGCTGTAAGAGTGCGAAAGAGGTTAAGGCAGACACAGTAAAATGAATTGCATATATAAAATAAATAATGGGGAGGAGAGTACAAGAGCAGGAGGCAGAGATTCATAAATTCATTGGTGACTGCTGCGTAGCGAAATTAGGATATACGTACTCCTGCTACTCTTATTGCCGCTACAGCTGCTGTTTGCTGTTGCTCCAGCGTTACATTTGTACAACACATGAGTTGCTGCATTAACAAATTTGCTCCAAACGTGTGCCTAACACTTCGATTGGATTTCTCGTGTATTGTATAAAACAAGAGAAACGCAATCGTAAGTATTAAGCTCACGATAATTTGTTGTTCGAGTTCGCATCCTGTAGATTCAAATGTTGCTGTTCACTGACAATAATGTTGCTGCCTCTGTGCTGCTGCGTCAATCCCGTTTTTAATGGTATAACGTAGACAAAAGATCCAGCAATAGTGCACTTTTTACTTGATTTTGAATAACTATGCAAAAACCTGCTACGGACAGTACTTTAATTTGTATGTCTATAAAAGGCGTTCGCCGATTGAAGGTTTCATTGTACTCATGCGCAGCAGTTGAAGCGGTATACCTGTATTTTTATCAAAAAGTTCAACGAACTAGAGAAAAAATCGGACAAGTAATTGAAAGCAGTACAGCGGCAGGCTTAAATGCGTAGTGCGCATAACTGTTGCAAGCAGCTGTAGGCGGTAGCTGTATGTTGCTGCTATATATGCTGTTGATTTACTTCAGTACGCTTCATCGTACGTTGTTCGACTTCGTATGGGTGGTGTTAGTAGATAACCTTCTGCTGTTGGTGGTATGCGGTTGCGAGTTCTAAATGGTTGCTGTTCCTCCGAAAGGTTTTATTTCTTCAAGTTTGCAGCACAGGTAAATCGGTGAAGTTTCGTTTATCTTCCGAGGACGAACTGCGTTTCAATGGGCATATATGGTTACAGGGAATCCAAAAGGCTTTGGAGTTTGTGTTACAGGTAGGTGGTTGTGAATTTACGAAATAATTATGTCTTGTTTCAGGTCAGCGCTTAATGAATTTTATAATTTGAAGCTTTTAAAAATAAAAATAACATATGCAGGTTTAAAAAACTGCTTTTCATTTGAACATAATGCAAAAAAAAATTTCTTTAAATTGTAATGAATGGTGGAAAGGCAGTAGGGGGCAATAAGTAGATTCGACTGTCGTGGGAACTCTGAACACATTAGGCGAAGTGTAAGAACTCGCAAACGGCAGAATTTTTTACTTGGGGTGCATCACGATATTTGGCATTCAATAGATCTTCTGTGCGTTCAGAAATGCATCAAGCCAAAGCATCAGTCTCTTACTTCTAAATTATTATTGATGCAAATTCCTTATTTACGCAACGTTTGTTTGTAATTAGGCATTTAACCGTGGTTGCGTATATTGCATGTTTCCATCAATTGCAGTTTAGAAATAAATACGTCTGATGTTTTGGCTTGATGCATTTCTGAACACACCCCTCATGAGAACTTTACTGCAGAGCAGATATGTAGATGATAGTCTTCGAAATCGGAACCTCCCTGATGTACATGTGAGCAGTTTATTTTGAAAGTGGCTCATTTCATACCGTTTGACTTCAGCGATCACTTACCTGTATCTGTACGCGGCACTTATTCGTTCAACTTCATCAACCAAACGTTGAACATTTTGGGTTATGAGGGTAGAACGATTTACAGAGGCTTTCAGTTATATGTAAGTTGCATGCATTTTGGTACATGACTACAACAACAACTGCTACGACAGTCGGATCTACGTAACCGGAACGTCCCAGATTTATATCTGGCCAAGCACTGTCACTCCAGCAACACTTCCCAAAATAGTCTTCGGGGAGTTTGTATGCTGCTACAACAACAACAACTACGACTTTCAAACTAAACGGCTGATGTATGTATGTATGGATATATTCGAGTTGTAATTAATGCGGTAGTGTTACTTTTTATGAAGGAGCATCACGTTCTACGCGAAAATTTGGGCAACTTTGTCTACATCACGCGTTCGAGGAACAAAATTTTGACAATGAGTTGGTTATCATTGGCAAATCAAAAGCAAATTTTGGGTGCGTTCAGAAATGTATCAAGCCAAAGCATCAGAGTCTTTTATTTCTAAACTATAATTGATGGAAATGTTTTATTTGAGCAACTAAGTTCCAATTCGGTTTTTAACCGTGGTTGCGCATATTTAACATTTCCATCGATTATACTTTAAAAATGAAAGAGACTGATCCTTTGGCTTGATGCATTTCTGAACGCGCCCTTTGACTGCACAATTTCTGCAGCATTTCAGAATATTTTGAGTTGAGCATCAGCAACATGTCATCAAGAAAGCAACCAGGCTGCAATATTGGTCCCCTTTCGCAAGTTTCCTTAGCGTACCGATGGTTGAGCTTGGCGACGGCGAATGATATACATACAGCCGAATTCTGAATACTCCCAGTGTTTGTTCTCCGGGAATTTGTTGCTCTCGAGAAAGAAATCGTACATACGTACGTATTAAATTAAAATTAACTCCCAGGGAGTAATATTTTCCCCTAAAATTTGGGAGTAGGAAATCCGAACTTGGAGAGTTGTTTGACACGCTTTTGACAGCTCAACTTCGCCATTTAATATAAAAAATCCTCGGGTAATTTTTATTCATGATAGGAGGAAGGGAAAAGATAAAACTCCCAGGGAGTTTCTGTTCAGAATCGGCCTGATAATATCCGATTCAGGCAGTACTTAGTAGTGCCGCCACAGTTGGTTATAAAACTTTAGTCGCTAAAGTTTAGCTTTTAACCTATATTGTAACGAGAACACCATCGCTTTATGGCCATGAAATGTGTATTCCGCAATATTATTTTTTTCGATCACCTTGGTTTTTTTTTATTTTGTTGACCAAAGTGTTCGTTCTTATTTATTTAATTTCCATGGTTATATTTATTTATTGCTTAGTAAGCAAAGGCATTTATTGTCAACAAACCAGATCCAATTTTAAACTCAATAATTATTTTTTTGTTTATAATCCATATTTTTTATATAAATTCTAATAACGGAAGTTAAAAAAATAAATGGCGTGCACTACTAACATAAAGCCAAAAATTAAAGTACGCGTGCGGAATGTCTGGTATGAACCAGATTTGTCTCCCGAGGGCATTTATCTTTGTCCCATGCCTCAGCCACCGCCAGTGCCAAAAGGTGTATTATGGTTTACAAACTTGAAGCCACACGAAAGACTATTCTATCATCAGACCTTGAATTCCGTGCGAAAAAGTAAACGTTTCATTGCAACACCAGAAATACCACGCGATTCATTGGATTTCCAGTTGCAAGCGCGTTACGATCATTCCCGTGAAGTATTTCCTGAGCGTGTAGATACATTGTTGCAGCGAGAAACATGTCCTTACGAAAGGATTGAAGGCTGTGGACCTGATAGTATAGTCGAACTGGCAACCTTTCGTGTGTTAAAAAATGTTAAGGCAGTGGAGTTGCCTTCAAGTGACCAGCAAGATCATCCTTTTATACCTTTTGGTGGTATAAAAGAGAAGATTTCACCACATAGTGTTAAATTGATCAATAGTGGCGTGCATACTCAACTGGTGAACAACGGATTTTCAAGACAGACTGGAGATGGAAATTTCTTTCGTTATTAGCAATTATCATTACTGTATCATGTACCATGGACGTATTAAAGAGTTTATTAAGGTAATGCAAATAGATTTCACCTTCTTGTAGTTCTAAAGATGGCCACATTGTAATTAAAATTCAAATACAGAAGCTATCCAAGTTAACCTACAATATTTTTTATTGTATTTCCGATCAATAAAAATATAACTAAATAAATCAAATGTCGGATCATGCTTCTAGTTTTGGTTGTTTGCTCTTACTTTGTTCTTCATCGCTCTTTTCAGAAGGTGTGCAATTTTTATGGTCTCTTTGCTTTTGTTTTTTGTTTTGATTACGATGACTCTTTGCTACCTTGTCTTGGCCAATCCTGTTAGAAAATAATTACCAAAAATTTTGATTTCAATTTAGTTTTAAAAGTACATATGTATGTACATAAATAATAATTGATACACACATTATAGTCGCCCTTGTGCCCGGTCCCCAATGCGCGGTTGGATTTGCTTGGAACCGTGTTAATGCATTGCGTCGGCTGTTGGGGTTTGCCTCAGGATGTATGTCGTCAAAAATATACTCTTTCTCAGGCTCTCGTTCCAATATAGCTTTAAGCGGTGTGCCCTCAACCATACGATTAGATTTTACTGGATGCCTTTTGGCCCAACATCGCAAAATATCCCACAGGACTGCTGCGGGTGCATCGGTTTTAATTGAATTTTTGCAGGCATGTGAAAACGAAACACGGTGGCCTGCATGTAAAAGCGCGGAGCGAAATTTGAGCACCGGTATATTTTCCAACTTTAGTACACAGCAAAGTTTATCTAATACATAGTATAAAGGGACGTCGTGTAGTTCTTCATGCACCACAGATAAGACACCTTGCAAGCGCTTTTGTGTGCCCAAGTCAGAAAGCGGTTTTTGCTCTATTGTTTGCAGTAATTCGTTCACGAAGTCCTTGTCATGTATGGGGTTAGACCACAGTGGGCCGCCCATCTGCATTGAATATAAAATGCAATTTAATTAAAAAGGGTCACGATCTTGCTAAATTTACATACATGATGCTTATGTCCACAGTGGGCGCAGTTCATGCCGATGTATGGTCCTGTGGGAATTCCAAACTTCGTTTGAGTCTGGCCTTTGGCTGTGGTATTTGTTTTTACATTGCCCATCGGCTGCAGAGTAAATGTATCACAACCGGTGCATTGGAAGATTACCGACTGTTTGCTGTATACAAATTTAAATTATTTACAAACTGGTATTAATTGTCGTATTCGCATATCCACTATGCTAACCAACCTCATACTATATTTACACTTTGCTTGACTGCTATGCACCCTTACAAAGACCCGTACATAAAAGTCGGCCGAAATGCTTAAAAGCGGTTCAATGTATTTTCCATAGCGATTTGCATGCGTCTCTATACTATGTAGCAGTATGCGTAAAGCCATTTCATGGCAGCATTTCATGCGCAACGGTACAGATCCATATTTGGCATAGCATGCTTCGGGTGTGTTTCCAGCTAGAACTGCCATATCTGTCGCTGTTACCAGCAGTAATCCACCGTTGGTTATTGATTGTACAGCTCCATCTAGGAAACGATTTGGACACCCGTACGGATCCAGATCTATAGCATCAAAGCGCTTATGATTAGATGTAGATAGATACATTAGAGTCCTGTAAAAATTAGATAGTTAAAAGTTGTTTCTAGGGGTACTTTACTTATGCTACATGGCATCCGATTGGCTTGGTTCGATTAAATTTTCAACGCCATTGTGCCGTACATTTTCAAGTATGGAATCAACTGCCGCCTTGGAAAGGTCATTGGCGATAATTTCACGAACTCCAGCGATTTCTTTTGCATATCGAATACTACGCAAACCCGTTGCAGAAAGTGCTTCCAATATGCGAATGCCATTTTCGTATTTGACTCCGGCGGTGTAGAGCGCACTTTCTCCGTTCAACTCGTCACCTGTAGCATTTTCTCCTGATTCTTTTGAAATTGTATGCGCTTCTTTTTTTCTTTCTTTGAGCAGGCGTCTTGCAAATACATTGAGTACAGCAATGCTTAAATCACGATTAAACTCCTGCACTGGATTGTAGAAGACGCTGCCGCCAGCAACAATTTCAGCGCTGCGCTCCTTTATTACGCGCCCAGGTGCACTAACACTGTTCGCTGGAGGATCTAATGTGTTCTGTTGAAATTAAAAAAATGTTTAGGCTACACATAACCGAAAGATTTACATCAAATATATACCGCTTTTTTATCAGATATAACTTCCAACTCCATCTTTTGCTTAATTTGCTTTGCGTACACGTTTTTGTAATCAGCTGGTGGTAGGTGGGAAAAGTTGCGTTGCCATTTCCGGCGGATCAGAAATTTAGGAAAACTGGAAAAGGATGCTGTTTGCTTTAGCATAACAGTTGCGATTCTTCCTCATAAAATTTGCTTAATTTCATTTCTACTTCCCGTTTTGTTTATAAGGAGTTCACATGAGGCGATTTTCCAGGCAACTCTAGAGGCGATTAGTTGCATCAAAAGTTGGCTGCCCCCCCAACTTCATTCAGTATGCGGGCGAAGGGGGTATGGGCGTGGCTCCCATACCCAAACCCGTTTGCTGTACCCATGATTAGTTGAAAGGTCGTTCACACCAGACGATTGTTGTTTTCAACTAAAAGTTGCCTGGTAAATCGCCTCATGTAAACATCGTATAAATAGGTTTGTTCGTCGAGTAAAAAGTTTGTACGAATTTGTACGAATTATCATGATTTTTGCCCAAATCGCGTTCGTGCAGACCAAAAAATTATCCCTCACTCAAAAACTGAGAGCGCAATGTGACAATTTAGTTAACAAAATTGTATTCGCAATCGGAATGCAATTGTAACCAGAGTCGATTTAAGAAACCCGACAGCTAGTACGATAAAGAAGAGGTAGGCTCTCTTTTAAGGTACTATTATGCCAAAAAATATAAACAAGGGATTCGAAATTCATACAAAATTTTTTTAATTTGCACAAAAGAGTATACTTCTATTTCTCACCATAGCTACACTATTTCCAAGTAAATTTGAAAAGAAGCAACACGGTGCCATTGCTAAGGGAGCGGTACGAGAGAGACAACCGTCAGTTTACCGAACCTAGTATTATTGAATCATGATTCAATAATGAAAGGTTTTGTAAGAAAAACTTTCTCTCGCTCTAATTTTATCAATGACACTCCCACCCTACTCCTAAAAACAAAAACAGTGATATTTCTTTTCCAAATATCTTTGCAACTTTTAAGAACATTTTTAAATTGTTAGTAGTGAAATTTTTACTTTTTAAATTTGAAGAAATGTTTGTTCTTCATTCGCTGGCGCCAACAAGACTAAATGGGTGAGCATCGTTGGACTACAGAAATTCAATGTAGGCTAAAGAGACGAAATTCTCTTAAATGCCGAAATATATTTGTCGATATTCGTGGAGACCTCTTGATTCTGCCAAGTCGCTGTAAAGTAAAGCATGCAATGGTTTTGGTAAATGAGCCAACGAAGGTATTTTGGTATTGTCCTCCACAACACAATCCTGGTGTCTCCGAATGAGGCTTTGACGCAATATAATATTGCCAAACCGCATCCATAGGCCCAATCGTCACACGACAGCTCGGTTTAGTCAATGGCGCGATGTATGTAATTGCACACTTAAAAGGTTTACGCACGAGGCGAATGTTGGCTGGCGACCAACTTTGTTGAAAGCGATTAGTTGAAAGTAGAATGCAAAGTTGAACAATGCAAACGCCTTTTTATGGCGAATATTTTTATATTTTTTTATATTTTGATATTTTTAATCATTCAAATTTTTGGGCAACCCGGCGAATGGTTAATATTCTGACAGTTGTATAGTCTCCCCAGAATATTAAAAGTGCGACATCAAAGAATTCGAATTACCATATTCGAAGCAATCGAGCCATATCCGCGAAGGAAACTTAAGCTCCAAATTTTTTTATTTGCCGTTTTTTTTTGTTTAATAAATACTGCATATTTTCCACAAACAAATAGCTTCTTCATATCCATCATCTGTCAAACAAATACAACAAAAAAAAAACTGAAAGTGGACCATCCATTCTCGAGTTATGCGCCATCTGACGTACGCAAGTTTGGTATATACATAGAAATATTTATTTTCAATAACAATCGGGGGTTATATTCGATGTAAATAAGCTTGTTTAAATTAAATAATTAAATCAAATTCGTTTTTGTTTTAAAATACCACCATTCACTATTATCCACACCTTTTTATGGAATTTAGCTCCCATTTTAGGAAGTGTGATTGAATTCTTCCCCTTTTTCCCCTGCTTCCATAAACCATCCCTGTGGGTGGGAGTGCCAAATTTTAGAAAAAAGCTACTTACAAAACCTTTAATAATTGAATCATGTTATTGAATCAGGATTCTTGCTGGATTTTCGACGAACAAACCTAGTGGCAGGCCTAACCTCATTTTGCCATATCTGGTATCAGTGAAGGCAATCAGCTGTTACGAAAGAAAAGATAAAAGTGAGGAACCAAATAGGAAAATAACTTTAATTTTTTCAACTTGCCCGAATTAAAAAAAAAAGCAAAATGAATAAGATTTGTGCCAGTTTTATCTCTGTGCTACGTTCCTCCAGCTCGGAAAAGTTTTACACATCGTCAGTAATTCTTGGACGGAGACTTTCATTTAAAAGTGACTTGTCGCTTGAAAAGTTGTACCCCAACAGTCGCCTCAAGCTCTATACACCTCCACCGGTATGAAAAATTCCTAAACTTATTATTCAAATTTTTAATGCAATCAATTTGCAGCCAACTAACACAGGAGACAAATTCTCAGGTTTTATACCCATTAATCAATTGGAAATCACATACAGTCGCAGTTCCGGACCTGGCGGACAGCACGTGAATTGCGTAAACACAAAGGTGGATTTGCGTTTCAAATTGGTAAACGCCGAATGGATACCTGAAAAAACAAGGCAGAAGCTGGTGGAAGGTGTAAGTTAAAAGTAACATCTAGTTTATAAAGCCAAATTATATAATCTAACTGAAATTAAAGTTGAAATTATGTGATTATGAGCCAATTAACTGGACGGGTACTCTTTATGAATTTGTACAACGAATTTGGGTTGCTGTGCCCAAACGCGTGAATGGAACCAAAAACACTTGTAGATAACAGTTCACGCTTTATTACAAAAATTTAATTTATTAAATCTGTGCACTAATTTAACAATGATGTCGGTTGGAAATATGGCATTTGTTGCAAATTTCCGAAATATTCTTCATTTTTATGTTTATATTTACTTTACACATTACACTATTAGTTGTTAGTTGTTTTATTCCTCTAGTTGAAACTTATTCGTCGCAATTTATTAATTAAAATTGCTATGTAAATCACACGCAGATCATCAGAGAGGTGACTTTTCATAAAGCTTCGTCCATCCCCGTCCAGAATTCAACACAATTCAAAATTCAAAAAATAAAAACTTACTACTGCTAAGTAGCTCTTGTCTCTAATCCTTGTCTAATCTATGTCTTCTTCATAATGTAGTACTCCTCACTACTTACTTCAATGAGGTTTGGACATGGCTCAGACATGCATTAGAGACATGATCCACTTTACGGTAGTAAGAGTTGTTATTTTGTGAATTGTGTCGTTATTGCAGAGGACCATCGGTATGTATGTATATCCGATTCTCTAAAATTTTTGTTAAGATTTTGGGATCATTGAAAATCAGGGTAGTTTAAGTACATTTACAAGTAACTCTTCGAAACAATGCAACCTTACATTAATTAAAACAAAACTAAATGCGTATCATACTCTACAGTTGCAGAACAAACTCACCAAGGATGGTTACTTTGTAATTAAAAGCGATTTAACACGATCGCAGCAAATGAATTTGGCAGATGCATTAGAAAAACTACGTAATCTCATACGTGAATATGAGGTAGAGAAGGCAGTGCCGACTGAGGAAACCTTAGAGAAGCTACGTCGCAGGTAAGTAGACTGAAAGCGATTGAAATAACATTTTTAAGCCTCAATAACCTCAAATAATTTTCGTTAACAGACAAGAAAAAGCTGCGCGTGAACGATTACTCGTAAAACGCCAGAGATCCCTTACCAAGTCCACGAGACAAGGACCTAGCATAACCGACTTGTAGAAATATTTTCAAACGAAAAAAAAAATCATTAGAAAATGTTGCATGTAAAAAGTTAATACAACATTTGTAAATTGTTTTAGTTAAAGAAGAACAAAATGATATAAATAAACATTACATTTAAATTGAATTGTCTACGTGCATATGTATGCAAAAATGCAAGAACCATTTGTATGAATAAATAGCGTTCACGCGTATGCAATGGTTAACTCTTTGCCTTCATGTCAGCCGAGTCCTCTAAGCCTCCATCTCGTCATAGTTAATAGCAAGCCTTATTGGATCCTCTGCCGGTGTTACAGTAAATTTGCGCCGTTTACGTTCGCCTAAAGTGGATGTTGGCGTATTTGTCATTGAAGATTGTGAAGATGGATTAGCTGTAGATGATTCTGCTTCGCCAACTGCATTCAGAATGTTAATAATGGGACAATTCGTTTTAGTGGGCATTGTTGCACAGCGTTGCAGCTTTTAAAAATTTATAAAATTTAACTTTATATCCACTGAAAATAATAAAAGAATAACAGTAATATTTACATTGCCTGCTACTACATCACACGTTTTGCTATAATTGCTTGCGATCGTTGTTGGGTGGCGATTTAAACGGTTTCTGGAAAGAAGAAAATATGCGAAAAAAGGTAAATTTTTTGTTTAAGCAAACTGAAAAATATGTTAATGCCGTTTTTATTTCATTGACTTGCCTCCTATATTGCAAGGTCTGTTGTTGATTCATCGTGGAATATAAACGTTCGATTTGATGTACAGTTGAATAGTTCTCTCTTATAACATCAAGCGCAGATCTATCAAAGAACTGCCTATTTCCTATCGGAGACCAAGTGTTTTGATAGGAGGCATCATCCAAACGTATTGTCCGTAATAAATTATAATCAATACCCAATGTTTTTTGATCTTCTTGAGGAAGATTGGCAAACTCATCGATTAGTGCGGTATTTGTATCGATGCCTTTCTTGGGAAGGCCTCGCGCGATTTTTATGTCATGTTTCCAAAATTCGCGATGGCTTCGTGAAATGGCAGGCGCTATCTCCTTTACTTTCAGCACCAAAACGCCCATAACGTATACGCAGATTATATTCGAAATTGTCACCAGCATACTAATGGCACCCAAAATGACTAATTCAGTGGCTTGATTATCAGAAAAGGTCCGGGACTTTACAATTAGATTAAATCGAGAATTATCGGTCTCGAAAAGTGTATAAATAAGCGCTAAGGCCCAGAGGACGCCCTATAGAAATTTCAAAAAAGTATTTACTTTTGTCCGTATTCAATTTTCATACCGCATTAATGGCAGGTGGCAAAAGTGACGCCGATATTGCTACACCCACCAGCGACCCAATATTACCACCCAAAATAGCTACAGCAGCTGCAGCACCAGAAGGTATTGCCGTAAAGAGACCAACCAGCAAGGAGTGCAATTCGCTGCGTGAAAGCATTTCAGCTGTTAGTCCTTCGCCATTGCCATAACGTTCATCAATCGAACAGATAACTATGCCGAAAATAAAGCCAACGATTGTGGTAATTACAATGCCTATTAACTCATTTCTTAGGCCCAAAGTACGCAGAGCGGGATCTTTGATAGCGGTACCAAAAATTGCTGCTATTATTGGACCCATTAACGGAGAAACGAGCATGCTTGCAGCTAGAAAGATGGTACTGTCCTCGGCCAAACCAATGGCAGCCAAAATGCTGAAATATAAATGCGTTTAAAGGTGTTAAAAAAAAATATAGAAACTTTTAACTTACGTTGCTGATATAAGCAAGATGAGAAAATCAAATGTAATCGCTGCATCTTGGCGTACATCTCGTACGATTTGTTGAACATTCAATCGACTTCTTACCGAGTTCATGAAACTATTCCAAACACTTTGTTTTTGTTTGTTGAAATTTCTATAAATTTGAGAATACGTTTGAATTAGAGTTGAGTAGAGTAAACTAATTTAATAAATGCGCACATTTCTTCGTTTTCTTGCGGCAAATCGCATTCTGTATCTCGTCTGGAGGTTTTCGAGACCAAGCAATTCATTACGGATACAGTGGAACCAACACGATCGCCAATACCCCACTCGTGAAGTTTGTCCAATAAATTTTCATAATTCTCATTAAACTCAACTGTAAATATTACCTTTAAAGTTTAAACATAAATTAACGATTCTTATTGGTAAACTGAGAACTTTAAACTAGCTGTTAAAAGCGGAAAAGCCTTTAGTTTTGAAAACCAAAGTGGGTAAGAAACTTGAAATTAGTAAAATGTAAACCTAAGCTGGTTAAGTTGAGCTGCAGGGGGAATAATTGAAGTTTTACGAGCACTTACTTGATACGTTCGACCATTGGTATCTTTCGTCCAAACTGCATTACATATTTGTGCTTTTTTCAAAATTTCATGCAGCACCCACTCCATGCACGAGTCACTGGGTATATTTATTTGTGATGCATCTCGATTCCTCTTTCGACTTGAAGATGTAAGAATCTCACGTAAGCCTTCCCAAGATTTTTGTATGAATGGAGCTCCATCCTTGCCGACAAAGAAAAATCAAATTCGATATATGTACATGTATAACATATATAAAAACTTGGTAAACAATTTATTAGTCTCACCACATTTTCTAACTCAACATCTTTTGCACTATCTGAAGCGCTACCTGTGCTACCTTCTCGTACCGCAGGGCGCTTACTCAGCAAATGTCCAGCATCACTAATTAAGAACATATTTGCATCAGATTTTCGACGCTTCGGAAATGTGCTATATTGTTGTTGATCATGCGTAAAGACGGCTAAAGGATTTTCCATCTTAGCACCCAAGCTGACAACATCAGTTTGTTCGGTATTCCCTGCCAGTTGTTCCGGTACGTTGATGGTAACAGCTGCTGTGGCTGTTGTTTCATTGGAAAAATTGGATAATGTTGCAGATGTTGTTGCGGTTGTTGTTGCTGTTGTGATCGGTGTAGAAATACTAAGTTTATCATCGCCCACATAATTAGCGCCTGCTTCAGATTTTTTGCTTCGTAACTCACTACGCAGCTTTAATTCTTCTGCTTGTGTCGGAATAGTAATTATAAATAAAACAACTGCCATTTTAAAATAAATATTTTTATAATTTTTTCGAAACCAACAAAAAATTATGAAATAAATTATTTTGATTAAACAATTTCCAATAATAAAGGGGTTTTAGACAAAAAAAAAAAAAACATAACCATTTGATGACACTACACAATAATTGACAAACTATAATTAAATACTACGAGTAGCTAGTAACGGTACATTAGGAGAGTTGCGGTGGTGAATTGGAAGACTTTCCAATGTTGCTTTCGGACGAGCTATTACTACTTTGACCCGAGCGCTGCAGAGAACTCTGAAAATGGAAAAACATTTGAAGTTTTCTTTATGTGAATTTACATTTAAATTAATTGACGAATATAAAAAAAAAAAAAAAAAAAAAAAAAAAACGTTACAATTTTAAAATTAATTTAATTATTGCCCGTATGAAACTTTTTCATTACATCTTAGGAAATTTCCTCTGTATGCACCTTCACTTACATTTTTCGTTTTTAAATTGCCCTTTAAAAAATTTTACAAAAATGTTTACTTATTCGAACTGGTCTTGAACTAGGCCTGAAGTAGCTCATAGGACAGGAGGACATCCAGAACGTTAAGGGGTCAGTCACAATGACTATTGCAGGAGCGGCCACGACGAAGAAGGGCCTGAGTCAATCAGGCACTTATTCTGCGATTGCCCTTCTGAAAATACAGAGATTCCTTGGTATAGGATTTTTAGATGATTTACGCGCGACTGCTAAATTTGCATTACGGCAGCTGCTAAGGTTAGTAGACTTCCCGAATTGGTTTAAGGAGTAAGGATTTTGGAGTACCGCATCAAATTTGGCGAAAAAAAATCCCAAAATGTATAACCAAATTACGCTATGCGAGTATATGAAAGCTATGAAAGTATACCCATCCATTAGTAAAATACTCGATGGATTTGCAAAAGTTATTTTTATTTTATGGCCTACTAAAGTTTACAGTTCAGATTTGGACGATGCTTCTTGAAAATAACTTTTAATTTTGAAAAGAAATTAGACTTCTGGCAACACTGTTTGCAGCGCGAAAGAAATTAAACATAAATAAATGTGGCATACGTTTAGGATGTTAATTTTATAAGAACTTTTTGCATTTGCTCTCCAGAATCTGCTAACAGGAAATGCACTTTTTAAATCAATTTCCCGTGCTTATATGTACATACTAGAGGTTTACGCCGACAGGCTTTGCGGCGGCGGCGTGGTCAACGTCAAAAAGATTCGGCGGCGGCGGCGACGCCGGCGCGTCTGGAAACGCCGGCGCTACTTCTCATAAGGTAGATTTCAAAGAGCTACTAATCTTATCATTTCAACTCGTCNGTACTCAGAAAATCTTGACTTAAAAAAGGTGTTAACAGATACCAAATTGCACTAGAATCGATTGGAAATAGAATTTCTTTTTATAATCCTCAAAAACACATGAACAAATTCAAGTATGTAATATAAAAAAAGGCGCAAATTTTAACTCGATATCAGTATAGTCGACTATTTCATAACCGGTTAACCATGTTGCACATATGCATTTCTTACAGCAGCTTTTTGCAGCGCAATACCTAAGCTTTTTTACCTTTGTTAACAAAGCGACGCCACAAATGCCAAATGCCATATCTGCTGCTGTCTGCATTGCCTAGACCGAGGTGGTCAAAGAAAATTTTCAGTCAGTACATAAAAATTCAGTCATCGTTCGAGTCGTCTAAAGAAATGGCAGCCAATCAATACTACGAAAACAGATTTACAAATTTTCATAAAAATCATATAAAACTATTTGCTGTTTATATGAAAACAGCAAATTTAATGCAAAACTCAAATGTGCTCAAGCGCTCACTTTAAACGTGCAAAGTCACACAATGTGCAAAAATAACAGCTAATGAAGTTAGTGCAAGAAAATTTATATACATATGTATGTATGTACGTATACACACCCACATATTTTTTGGAGCGGTCTAGCAAAAGTAAATCATTGAATTTTCAATGAATTTTTTGCTTAAGACACTTTTTTCTGTTAATAGCAGTGTAAAGCCAGCAGCTTGTATTACAAAAAAAAAGCAAATAAATAAATAAATAAAATTCGCGGCGGAAATTGCAGCAAAATCGAATTTGGAAATGTCTTCTCAGCAAAGAAAAAAATAAGTACGTAAAGTAAAATTCCTAAAAGTATGCTATTCTTTGTGTGATTTACCACTATTTGCCTGCTGCAGGATACTCGAAAAAAAAAACGCGTCCGATACGCTTGTGCATGCGTGTGTGTGTGTGTGTTTGTGAATTTGGCTGTGGCAGACGACGAATAAAATTATTATATAATACTGATTTTAATAGATTTCCGTGCAAAAGTGTGTTTTGCTAGTTGCCATGATTGAATGCGAGCGCAGAGCAAATACAACAACATACATACATACATGTGTACGTATGTCGAAATATGTATGTATTCAGTTAGTGCGGAGGAGTGTAGAAGCAGCAGCCATCTTTTGATGCAAACTTCATTTTGGTAAAATTTTTTAATGCTCTAGTTGGGCCCTTGGGAAGGCATTAAATCATCTGTGTATGAAGTTTAGGGTGGTCCAATTTGAGTAAAATCGGAATTTTAAGGTTTGTGTTTTAAACTAGATCCACCTACTGACATATATTTAGACCCACTGTATCTGATTGCAGATTGAGTGAAAGCATTAAAATTTCGACGTTGAATTTTTGGACCACTCTAATGTACATTCGACAACCCTGAATCTTAGGTAACTTGCAGGACAACTTAGAAAACAATTATGTTTTTTGTTTTTTTTTTGCCGTTTTTGCCTTTTTAAAGTTTTCGTCATATCCTTGGCATTTACCGTCGCATCTTTAGGTATGACCTATCGATGTCTTTGTCTCGAGCAGGAATTTTTTTTTGTTCCAAAATGTTTTGACTTCAAGTACTGCATTCCACCAGGTCTCAGTTCCTCCCACCCTAATGTCAGTAAAATAAAGCTCGCCAAAAATCAAAAACGTTTGCTAAGCAAATATTTCGATTCGAAAGCAATTTCGACTTCTTTTTTTTTGGCTGAACGTAGGGGTGACCCTTTTCTGCATTTTTCGTAATATCTTCGCTATTTGGAGTCCGATCATGAAGTATGATACATATATAGTTTTTTTTTTGTCTCGAGGTGAAAATTTTTCTGTTCCTTAAGTTCATTGAACTCAAGTTTCCCGTTCTAGTACTTCGCCACCAGATCTCAGTTCGTATCACTCAAACATACCACCCTAATGCTAAGAACTAAATTACTTTAAAAATTATTAAACCTTTGCTAAGGAAGTATTTTGATTATGCCTGTAGATAGACCTATTTAAAATTTTTTTTTGTGCATAGGTGTCACCGAAAAATGTTTTAGAGGTGTACGGCAAATTTTGTTTTGTTTGCTTGTAAGGTGATACGATCTAATGTACTTACGCCCACTTTGTTTCGATCGACTAATGTTGATATGAGTTACGAGCAGATATATTACAAGAAAAAATGAAGGCATGGATTTTTGCTGGTTTGTCAAATAACTGAACACCCACACACATATTTATTTGTTAGCATGACAGCAGCAACAAAGCACACTACATGTGTGTGTGTTAATGTAAAGCGTGTGTGCAGTTACTTTGCAGCAATAACTGTCATTTATCCATATCTTACGCGCAGGACTCTGTTCTTACCATTTGACAATTGGGCATTAAGAGTTAAATACATGCATACATACATACATACATATGTACGTATATAGGCAAGTATGTTTGCGAGCTTTTTCTGCAACTGTCAAAAATACAAAAACAGATGTTTTGTCTGCAAACACCACAAGCCGGGCAAATGAGTTTTGGCGCAGAGTACAAATTTTGAGCGTCAATTGAGTATTTCGTGAAAAAGAGAAAGAATGGATTTCCATGCTCTGGTGTAGTGGTTCTATTATTTACTTGGCAACCGCGCGCTGCTTCTGCCTTTATCCTATCCTAACAAAAACATTGTTATGTGGCGTGTATTTTGCATACTGTGCTACCTCACACATGGACTTACATACAAATGTATGTACATATATACGATTTTATGTAAACTTGTGTTTTAAACGCCTTCTCGTTGGTGTGAAAATATAGTTGTTATAGCTGTTATTGGTTTTTGTTGTCAATACCATTGTTGTCATCTTGTTGTAGTTGTGGCTTTTGCGTCATGCTGATGAAAAATGTTGGGTAATATTTTTGATCAAGATAGGCAACGCTTTTGGGTAAATTTCGAAATTGTGCAAGGCAAGAAAGTTGCCACAAAAGAATAGTATTCGAGTCGGTTGAAAATAGTGGAGCTGTGCAACTAAATGCATATAAATACTTAAGTGGTTACCGATTTCGCGTTTTCGAAAGTAAAAAATATTAAAACACATTTAGTTTTTAGTGATTTCTTTTGTTAGAAAGTTTGACCTTTGGCAGTTAGAAGGGAAGCGGTGGACATCAGCCTTGTGTCGAGCGGTTTTTCCGAGCGGTTAAGGGACTGGCGGCTGTCCAAAGAACGCTCATTTTCTGACCACGTCTACATTAGTTTTAAGTTCACTTTTGATCCTACTCCTTTAACAGCATACGGGGACAAGAAGCGAACCGACTGGGCAATGTATAAAAATGCGCTGTCGGCCTCCCTACACAGATACGCTTCTCAAGATAAGTTCTGCTTATCGTTAAGACCTGATGGAGCGAGTTTCTCGATGAGAATCTCTGATGAGAGGGTGGAATGGGCTTTAATGTCCTATCAGCCCTACAAATCTGCGGGACTTGACGGAATCTTTACCGCTCAACTACAAGAAGATAAGGACATACTGCGCCCTTTGCTTTCTCAGATTTTTACAGCCTACGAAAGGCGAAAGTTTTATTCCGAACAAAAGGAGGCAAGGCCGCTTATGTGAAACCGAAGGATTTCAGGCATATAAGCCTCTCTTCATTCTTTCTTAAAACTCTCGAGAGGCTTATCGACGAATATTTTCAACGGAATATAAAGAATGGCAACCTCTTTTC